ATGACTAAAATAAAAACTATGTAGATGTGGCAACAGCGCTAATAACTGACTAGCAGTTGTACACACTGCGAACCTACAGACCTCGGACATCGGAGATATTGCGCGTCAAATTCGGGTAAAGATGCGTACGCGTTCAAAAATGTATTATGTGTAAACTATGTACAATATAATTATTATATATAGCAAATATATCGTATTATCCTCGCGAAGATTTGTATCCTTTATTTAAAATCCGTAAATCATGTGAACTGGTAAAACAACGAGAATTATGTTAATTTAGTTCTAAAGAAATGAAATGACACTCGCGCCCATCTCTCGTCCAAGTCAAAGAAAATGTTGGATGCAATTTTGAAGGTTCTGTGATAGAAATTACATTATTACTCACTGTTCGTGTTTTTAATCTCTATTTTAGTAATGTTACAAAAGTTTTGCAACTATAACTAATTTTTTAGATATAAAGTTTGCTGAGAAATATTTATGTTCCTTTGTTATTCCGTACAAATGCTTTTATCTCAAGTATTACTAATTATATTAATCAAGTAAAGAAAACTTTATGTAACCCTAAATATTGCTGGGTAATGATTACGATGTTTTTATAAACCATTAAATATATTAAAAGGATTTATCAACTGTATTTTTTATTCCAATAAATATATCACAGCTTCCTAGTCTTTTTTAATTAATCTAGTTTTTTAAAAACATTACAAAAAATCATCTGTTGTGGATAATTTATTGTTGATAACAATGTACATGGGATTTAGGAAAAATGTATATGTTTGAAATCAATTTCGTTTTTATCAAGTCTTTCAAATGTATTCCCTCCTTGCTGTCAGCTGATTGCGACGTTGCCACATTAATCCTCAAGTCAGACAGAAATGCAATTATAGGTTTCTGTTTCTAATTAATACAGCTGTACTATGTTCAAAACTTAAAATGAACAACTTTCAACAACAATATCTCAAAATCTAGATTCAAAAAAATTTCAAAAAAATATGACGCACAGAGGGAGCACTGGGTAATACGCTATATAAATTTCAAGTACATCTGCGCATTTGAGTAAACCCGATATACCTCCTTAAATAAACCCATAGAAATCTGACAATGGCCTATTTTAACTAACTCGACGTTTATAAATAATGCTTCTTGCCTCATTACACGCTCCCAATATTTTCCAACGCTAAATTTACGTAATTAATAAATAATAATTATAGGCAATTAAACTGTTTGAATCAAACGAAAACCTTGGTTTTATCGATAGCGATTAACGATTTTTTTTTTAGGGCAACACACGATACTTTAGTATTTTTAGACGTAAATGGGTTTGAAAATAGTTCAAATTCAACGACAGCGCACTTACAATCGATTAATATTCAGTTCAGTAATGCAGACAATGTGATAGTAAATGTCAACGTGAGAGCGCGCACGTGATTAAAATGTGTGGCAGAGGAAAGGTTAAATCTGTAGTTGAAAAGGAAACTTCAAGTCCGGTCAGTTTATTTCCATCAAAAATTAAGTTTACATTCTGAAATTCGGTAGGTAAATGGGAGTTTGGTGGTGTATTAGTCAGAATCAAGTAGTCGGTACTATTGGTCATTGCTGGCATTGCCATCTAGGCTCCAGAATAGGATATTACGGGAATGCTAATTTACAGAGTGTTAAAAGTTTGACTGCCTTAATTTTAACAGACGATAGAATACATTAAAATAAACAAAAAAAAACCTTATATGACATGGGTCCTAAACTCTACAATTTCCGAGAAAAAAATTATCAAAAGCTCCAATTTGATGTACAAAAGTTCGATTAATTAAGGAATATTGCCATAACTGCGTGCATAGAATACCATAAAATACAATGTTTATCACTTTTTTGAACTTCTTTATGCTTAATTCTAAAAAATAATTAGCGTTGTAATAAATTTAAAATTCGATAAAATTCATATCGAGCAATGCGACAACGGCGCAACGGATAACATGAGGTACTAACCTGTCCAGCAATACGCAATAAGTTGGTATCTGGAATTGGACTGTGTCTGAGTGTTTTTTACGTACCACTACTTCCTTTTTCTCGAGGTGTTTTCCAGCGAGTACGCGAAAATTGGATTCGAAGCTGTCCTAAGTGCATCGAAAATGGTGGTGGACATTTTAAGCATATGTTGTAGATTGTTTTGTATTTGTGCGTTTAAAAATTACTCAATTTTGCTTTTTGGTAAATACCTAAATCATTTTTAATAATGGTTATTTGGATAAAGTAAATCTTTGGGTACTTTAATTACATATTTTTCAAATACGTAATTTGATTAAGTTAAGTTCCTGTTTTAAGAAATTCATAATTACTAAAATTCGAGCTAGCACAACACTATCTTCGTACTACAAACCGATATATTTCATTTTATTTATTTACAAATTGGAAAGCAATTCAATTGAAATTTACTAAATGTTTCACAATCATAGCTGTTTACATTTTTGCCGTAGGACAAGTCACTTGTTGTCACGTTGTGATGAAACTCCAAAATATTAATACTCGCTGGAATTTGAAATCTGTTAATCTTACGCGCCTGTAATATACAACTTTTTTGTTCATTTATCTCTATCTTATGCTGAAGTGACGGCAATCAAACTCCTTACACCCTGTATACAACTCAACAATGACACCAAAAAACTGCTGAATGAGATCAAAAAGCTGACAATGAAATTGCTGGTTTACATATGCGGAGTCTAAAAGGACGCGCAGTTTGCTATACATGTTTCACGATTTCGGTTCTCTGAATTAGATGGTTTATATTAGCTGTGTTGTAACATGTGCTACATCTTTAATATTATTATTAAGTCTTCAGTTTTTATATTACGATCAGCCATAGAAAGAATTTCGACTCTTTCGCTTAAAATTCGATCCTGTATTCTTAATTATTCGTCTCCTAGTATAAATCACCCTGTATATCGAGTACATTCAAATTTGAAATATTTTTTATCCATTTGTTCGTTGTAGAAACATTTTTTTCAGCCACAGACTTTTCTCTTGTGTTTTTTTCTTGAAATCATTAATTTTAGTTATAAGCAAAGGAAGATGTTAAATTTCGAACATAAACCTTTCATTTTCCAAGTCCCATTCGAGTAATTGCCCGATTCTAATAAGCAGTACTAAAGCACCTATCATTATAGCGAGCACAAACAATAACGTTACCAGGACGATGATTACGAATAGGATTAGTAATTCCAGGGAACGAGTAATATAATCGCCTTCGCCGTTTTGTATGCAAACATTTCGTCCTTTGTGGCCGACACAAAGAAGTAGAAGCTATGTCGGACTGTTTGTTTTATCAAATGACAACCGGCGGGATAGAACAGGTTACGTCTCTTAAGAATAGGTAAATAAATTGGAGGTGAATTCTCTAATAGGATCGAGACCGATCTGGTTTATCGTCAATGTAATAGCGTCGTTTCCAGTGAAATTTAAATGCTACACAGACGTAAAATGCTTATGGTCTTACAAAGTAAAGTTAATTGTTTATCATGTTTTATTGAAGTTTTTCAAAATAATTTTATCCACAATCACCTTATAATCGGACTTTTATCCACACATATCAACCGTCTAAAGCGATACTTTATCCACCAGTGGAATAAAGTAATTCTTCAGTATGTGCTCTTTCCAATACTTGAGCTTTTTTTGTTTTGTATCCTCTCGATTCACTCTTCAAATAAGCAGTTATATTTTCCAATATCTATATTTTTGTAGACCTTTATAGTAGCCTTCAACATCGAATACTTCGACCACATGGATGAAATTGCATTTTTTTTTCTACAAATTTAAAAAAATACGATAGCATGACTTCTTTATTTATTAATAAATGGAAAATTGCTTCTTGAGCTTCTTCAAAAACAGCCACAGGAACACAATTACTTTCTTGCATTTTTATCCAATTCAAATAGAACTGTTCATTAAATAATTGATAATAAACAACGTACCATAGAAACCAGTAGGTTTCATTGAGTACTTACTAGTGAGAAATATCAAGTCGTGTGAATATTTTTTATTAAATTCCAATAATTCTGACTCCACAAATATGATTGTGATGTGATTATGGATAAAATAAAACGTTATCTATAAAACGCTCCAACTATGTTCTCGCGTTTAAACATTCTTGCGTGGATAAAATGCTACTTAAAACACTTATATAATAAATAACTATTCAAGTTTTATGATCTAATTCAACTGGAGTAAATACCAAACAAAAGACATGCCGAGTATTGTACGTACTTAACTAATAAACCTGTTGTATCTGTAAAAAAGATGGTGAAGATAAAATTATGTCTGTAGGAGTATTACAACACAACACTTTACATAACAACACGAACAATTCTTAGCACTTCCTTGATCGTTTGTAAGTAGGTAATGCTTATCGATGAAGAAAGAGGTCATTTTCGGTTTTCACGTAACTATATCCACGTTATTATTTGATTAACCCAGTTACAAATCGTAGTTTACTAGTATTATCTTCCAATTATCGTAACGAGGAAGTTTCGCCGCGAAGTTCAAAGCGTGAGGTCAACACGAACGACGATAGTTAAGTTTACCCGTGCCTCATTTGTTTGTTTGCCTTTGTATTAATTAAGGAAAGGCGCCTACTAGATCAGGCACCAGTAGATAACATAAAAATAGCAGCGAACTATTTTTCTGCATAACAATCGAGACTTGGCACAGAAATTGGATGAAAATAAGGAGCTGTATAAAACGAATACCTAGAAACGAGCGTACTTTTATTTATATCCACTGAAAATTCAAGGCACTGTTTTGTTTACAATGACTTATTTCTAACTACACTTGTCATACTCATAAAAAAAAATGTATATGGATTGTCAATGGCAGTAAACAAGTACATATATCGCGTATAAATATTGTCGATGACACAAAACCGTTTAAAATGCAAAATTGCGACAATGAGTAATCGCGAATACCCATAAATAATTGTTATAGACGCAGTCAACAACTACCTCTATCATTACCTTGGTATTTGTTCAAATCCACGTACAGAGAAGGTAAAGGATCCACCTCGGCCTCCATGTTTTGCAAAAAAATATAATTAATTACACGCGGGGACCTCTACGAACACCAAGAAAGGACACAAACTTAATTAATACGAGTTATATGTCTATAATTAATGTTTGTCTTAATGAACCAACCTCGACGGGCGACGATGCGTTAATCCCGATTTATATTAAATTGAAATTGCGATGATTTTCGCGAGATTCACACAACTTGACTTTTTCGCGGAGGGATCGCGATCGTCACCTGTTTCGTATACCGCGGCCACGCGTGATGTAATGTGGTGCGCGTGCACTGTCTACCGTGATGGCAAGTCGACTGATTCGCGTGAACAGCAAGGCGCCAACAGCGAGCGTCGCGAGTGGGCGAGTAGCGTCGCGATGCCTAAACATTTGGTGGTTGGGGGTTGCGCCACGCTGGCGACCCCCGACCTACGTACACCACGCCGGGCATTGGAGACGCCGACATGGGCGTTACAATAATTAAAATACGGGGTCAATGTTGAATAGCGACAATAATCAACATCTACACTGCTACGCAAACCGAAACATACACACCTGCAAATAATGCCATTTTTCTCAAGAATGGATTTCTGTAGGCGATTTTCTCGAGGGATACTATTTTTTTTTAATAAAACGACCATTTTAATGTTGCTGTCCGTTTTAAAAAAATACGATCACTGTAAAAGTTTTGACCGCTAAAAGGGAGAGGTAACCGGAGAAAACTATCACCCAGTATATCGATTTGACTGAAGCTTTAAGAAATAATACGCCATAATAGTCCAACAAATGTGCCAAATTTTAACGCGATCGGTAAAAGGGTTATGAAGTTAATAATTAAATTTGTTTTATTTTTGGCAACTTTGAAGGTCTGTAACTCAAAAACCAAAAATTTTTTTATTTAACTGTTTTTTCGTAGATCGTCTTTATTTATCGTCGTGAATGTGCAGTCAAACGTTGTCGGTGAAAGTTGCGGACACCCTGTATTTCTAATTCAGATGTTATTTTCTTTATGACGCACAATTTGAAAGCTTTCTCATTTTTTCTCAAAAATTTCTTTATGCAAAGGCATACGAATTTCATATGGTTGAAAAGAGAATAAAAAATTCTATCAAAACATGCAAAATAATTTATACAATCCCATTTAAAAATATATACAGGGTGTGCCATTTAACACTCCCGCTACCAATGTCTCCAAAATGAAGAAATTTATTTTAGTCTTATAACTAGTATATAGTTAAATTGAAAGACGCAAGCTGATAAAACTGTAATTATTGGAAAACTAATATGTGGCATCTGTCATACATGTTTTTTTTTAAACAAATAACATAAGCCACCTATAACTGAATTTTTTAATAATATTTGATAAAATTCTTACGGTTCGTCTCTGTCCCTTACAAGATTTACCATCGTACAATTTTTTTTCTGCATTTGATTAGTTGTTTTTATAATTGATTGTATGTTAGTTAGTATGTGATGTGAATAAAGCCATTATAACAATATTTGAAAAGAATATTTTGTTTCAGTGTGATTTAAATAAAATAATAGATTTTCATGTCACCTACATCCTACATTATACATTGCATTTCGTCGACATGTCCCGAAAACAAGTAAATATTGGGAAAAACTTTATATTACAAAAATTACTTAAAATTTAACGATCTTCCAGATGGACCGTATTTCCATGTTCCACGAATCCAAAAATTTTTAGTATCGCCACGTCATCTATACGGAAAGATTTGAACTAACAATTCTAACTACAATTTGAAGCTAATCGAGGGATTTAACAATCCCAGTTTCCGGAAGTAAAATAAGTGACCAACAAATTTTCAAGGTTTTGTTGAAAAAACTTTTTTTTGTGAATTTTGATGCCCTCTAGCGGATACTTAGGATAGAGGCAACATTTGTTAAATATGCTTTATTTTGTGACAGAAAACTGTGGTAGCCCCGTGTACATGGAATATTGGGGCACCCTGTATAATTTTATTCGATCTGTGATTACACATTACACACAAAGGTTAGTAAAAACAGCACTAATAAACTTCATTACCATACCCTTACAAAATCACCAAATTTGTACCCTTTTTATCACATTTTTTCAAATTTCTTACATGTACACATTCAATTAGCCACTTTTTTAACATTGGAAACAAATATACACCAAATGTGCTAGTTGTACCCTTGGTTTTATCCGTATTTATCAACATCCATACGAAATATTTCTTTTATCCTCGTGCTAATCGGTGTTTAAAATGTTTTGTGCAATTTCATTGCACAAAAAAATATACTTTACATGTTTATCGTTCCACTATTCGTTTAAATCGCCGTATTTCATTAGACCACATATACCATAAGTCACTAAAAACATTTGGATACACTTAAAGGTACTTAACAGAAAAACATCGGCTGTAAAAATAACAAATGTACGTAAATATGTTAACTTTGTGAGAAATTTTCGAAATTGCCCTGCAAAAAGCAATCATGGCAGAGAGATTTGAGAAAGTTATATAGGTACTTTCGAAATTATGTGCGTTTCAGTCTTATAAAAAAAATATTGTCTTTAGAACAAATGATGACAAATCTATGGCCCGCAACTAAAAAAATCTTATTCTCCGATGTTCTATCAACCAACGAATTTATGACATATTTTCTAAAACGCCTCGTATAATTATTTTCTAAAATCGATCCGAAGTTAAAGTATATGTGTCATATAAGTTACTCTAATTGGTACAACTGACTACATTAATAACAAATGTAAATAAATTTCAACGAATTAATTACTGAGTTAAATGATTTTGATACGGGGAAACTTTGTACCTAAATATTATATTCCAGCGTCTATTTTTAGAGAACTACTTAGGCGACATCTAAGAAACCTCGGGGGTGTCGAGGCGCCTATCTCTCTCATAAATTACCAGGGCCTACTTATAAGATTACGCGTTACATACCCAATTAAAATTTCGTGTAGACTCCCACTAATTAACGACACCTCCGTCGGAGACCCTACACCGACTATTAACGAGGAGCCCTGAATTAGTTTACCGCGAAGTTACTGGTTGGGTAGTTCATAGACGTGCTCGAACGGAGTGAACAAAAATAAAAATGGTTTATACGAACGCTCAAAAGGTACAAACGGTTCGAAATTAGTTCTATAGGCGAAAAAATTGGTTTGAATTTGAATTTAAATAGTTAGACAATACTAAATAACTATTAATTATTCTGTATTTCATGGTAATGGTTGAGAAAAACTCATTAAATTAACAGAAATTTTGACAACAGCATCAAAAATAAGTATAGTCTTTTCCCGAAGTCAGTTAAACATGTATAAAAACGCCTAGCAATACAATTTAATAAGTTTCATAGGCGTCCCTAAAAAAGTGTTCTGTTAATGATAAACAATTAAGTATAATAATTTGTATATAATGTGTAGAAAATTTCTATTATATGTTCATTTGGCCAACAATATATTTTAATTATTTATGTTCTCAAACAATTTTATTATATTGGTGGTAAATTTCGTTTTGTACCGTTTCAAAAGGTCTACAAAATGCCATGTTGTAATAATACTAATGGACAAAATATGCCTCTTATTTCTCCCTTTCGCAATTGTAATACAAATGATTAAATCGAAAGTTGCATATAATAAATTAAAATTGTATGCATCACACCAAATTTCGCATTGCTGCACTGCACTGCTATGCAATTTGTCAACAAACTGAGATTTATTGCCCAGTGCGGCTGTGTTATACGTGCAGACTTGTATACGGGTATGGCTAAATAAATATGGGAAAACGTTTTCCAAATATTTCAATGACGAGTTGCTGCGTCAGCGACCAACCTCTTGGATCTTCAATTGAGATCGGAAAGACTATCAAACTACAATGTAAAGGTCAACAAGATAGCCGTAATAGGAGTGACAATACAAGAAACCCTAATGGTAGGGAGGTATATTCTGCGCAAAAATTTTACTTTGGTCTGATTCACAGGGTGATTTTTTTAACCTGAAACTTTCAAATATCTTGAGAAATAAGCACCATACGAAAAAAAATGTCGTAACGTACAATATAGGTTATGGCAATCTATTCGTCCGATCAGTTAACCAATTCCTTCAATCGTGACCTAAAATATCGTCTCTAAAAACAGATCTGTGTAGAAACCACTGTGGCAGCTTAGTAGTTTATGACTTTAACAATATTTATATTAAAAGTTAAAGAAAAAATAAAGTCAGATATTAATGAAATAGAAGCATACTCATACTAATAGAGTGAAATTCACTGTATCAGTATGAGTGAAATTCACTCTATTAGTATGACTACAACTGAGTGAAACTTTTGCATCAGAAATTACTGAGTTTTACTCAAATTTTACTGCTAACTATCAATTGAGCGACTTTTGACTTTATTCTGAGTATATAAAACCAATTTAGAGTTGACTTTTTCCGTAATATGATTTAAGTTTAACTATTATTGAGTATTGAGTCATTTTTTACTCAGACTTGGTTTTTAATTAACTAAATATTGAGTGCAAAAATAAATCACTCTTAAATGATTAATTAGGATTACAGTGTTGAAATTAATTCACTTCGCGGGGTCCCTCCTGTCCTGGCTGAGACCGCCAGCTGAGACCCACCGCCGCCGGCTAAGGCGATCACGCTAGTCATGGGTAACACCGTGTTGAATGGCGCTTTTGTGTTGACACCTCTCTGGGTGTCATGGGTGCTGAAACAGTACACGTGACACCATGACACTTAATAACACCCAAGATGGCAGAAATTGCGAATTGCGAGTTACTAAACGGCGCGCGGTGTCACGAGTCACCATCCTGATTCTCGATGGGATGGGGATTATATTATGACACCGCGGAAGCGCGATTATGGGAGTTAAGGGGCCACAGAGTCCCCGATTTAATATTTTTTCCAAAACTNAGTATGACTACAACTGAGTGAAACTTTTGCATCAGAAATTACTGAGTTTTACTCAAATTTTACTGCTAACTATCAATTGAGCGACTTTTGACTTTATTCTGAGTATATAAAACCAATTTAGAGTTGACTTTTTCCGTAATATGATTTAAGTTTAACTATTATTGAGTATTGAGTAATTTTTTACTCAGACTTGGTTTTTAATTAACTAAATATTGAGTGCAAAAATAAATCACTCTTAAATGATTAATTAGGATTACAGTGTTGAAATTAATTCACTTCGCGGGGTCCCTCCTGTCCTGGCTGAGACCGCCAGCTGAGACCCACCGCCGCCGGCTAAGGCGATCACGCTTTTCTGGAGCATCTAACGGACCCCCATCAGCTGTGGTCAAGATTACAGAA